CTACCTACTACCTACTACCTACTACCTACTACCTACTACCTACTACCGACGACGACTGCGACTACGATGGCTCCCTGAGCCGATAATTCAGGGGGAGTGGACCTCATGAGTGGTTATCTCATTCCTTGTTGACCTTGTTGACCTACCATGTGGGGGGGGTGGAGGTTTATTAATCCGGTCTTTGCATTATCAGTATCTTAAACCTGATGGTGCAAGCCAAATGAATCGAACGGGTGGATCAAAGCAATGTGGCCGGGACATGCCGGGAACCGTCTAGGCTTCCTAGCATCTTGAGACAAACGCAACAAATGCATACTTCAATCGTGCTTGTGATTGTGTATTTCGCGCTTGAGGCCAATCAATGCCTGTCAATCTGTGTCCTTTTCTCAGGGGTCTTTGGGTTTCGTCTCTCCATCTAACACACACACACACAGCTATTATTCATCGGCCGACCAGCCTGTGCAAGTGGTGACTCTCCATGCCGTCGTCGGGAACTTTGCCCTCCGACTGAAGGCGGTTTCCTGGCGCAGATCGATTCTGAATCAACAAACAGGGCCAATCTCCTGGTCTTCCCAGGCCAATCTCTTGGTCTTCCCAGAACAACAAAAAAACAAAACAAATTCTTGGGCACAAATCTCAGCGAACAATCTGTGCTCTGCTGAACAGGGATTGCCATTGCGTAAAGAATCTCGGATGTTGGATGATTTGGGTCCTCAATGGTTCTCATCAAAGGCTTCTGCGACATGAACGAGCAGAACGGGTGAATTTCGAGCTGCGAAACAAGCTCCTTCAGAGCTCCGAGCAGCTTGGCTCACGTCGGTTCTTCGTCCCGCCTTCATCCACTCCTTCCAGGTGTTGTGCCCGAAACTCTCACGGAGCCTGGGCTTCCAGAGGCGTGACTGGACCCACGGTGGCTGAGGCGCGGCACTGATGGCGGCTGGAGAAGTTGTAAAGAACATAAAACATATGGATGTTTGCTGACTTTTGGATGGATCTTATTGCATGTTCCCGTTTGATTAACATCTCTGCTGACGCTGATGGCGCTATACGACTAATGATATATAGAAAATATGTGTTCTATTTACATGTCTATATACATGTCTATACATGTCTAACCGAAAGAACACATTCAAACCAAGAAGGATTGGCCACTCCGCGAAACAAAACATCGATTTGACTCGTTCGCTCACAGGCCCCCGACCCCGAGTTCTCGCAGGCCATGTCCCGTCGCATTCGGCACCAAATGAGGACCTCGCCAGGCAGGTCGCAAGCACCCAAGCTCCAGGTGGAAAAAACACACGCATGACGATCGCCTGACGCATTACGAGCGCATTATATCGTCTATCCTTAAATACTACATCAACTAAAGGACTGGATTTGGAATACCGACACCCACTTATCATACTCTTAAATATAACTATCTCATATATATATATATAGATTATTTGCCTAAACCCACTTCATTGATGATGGTCCGTCCTCCAAAGAATGTGCAGGCCAGAATGGCTTTCTTTCAGATGACAAAGAAGCTACCAACACAGACTTCAATTGGCCGCAATGCGGACAAGAGTTGGCGCACGGCACAGCTGAAAGTTTACCCGGCGGCTTTCTGCCAGGCGTTGGCAAATGTCATGGTGGCGCATGTTGTTGAAAGGGAGACATGCACGCTGTTGCAGGATTCTGACCATGAACTTTTGAAGTGGATCGAAATGTTCAAGGTCCTGGCTGATTGAAATGCGTCAATGGGACCGAACTACCACCCGCTGTCGCGCCTCGGAGCTCTGAATCAGCTGCTGTCTCAGGCCTGGCACCCGGTGGACCGACCGGGCAACCGGGGACCCAACCGGGGACTCGACGGACCGAGGCCGTAGAATTTGTTGTTTTTGATGGTGAAAGAGCAAGTTGAAAACCAACACACACACATATATATATATATATCTCTATGTATGTATGGTACATAAGAACAAAAAACACACGTGTCCCAGGAAAGTCGAAGGATATGATATTTATGTTGTGTGTGTTTTTTCATGACGTGGCATCAATGTGGTCTAATTTTTGGGGCTGGACATGGCTTGACGAGACCATTGATTGAGAAAGCCATGGAGCCGCCAAAGTCACAAACTGGAGGTTTTTATCAATATAATCAACATTGCAAATCTGCTGTCGAAAGGTTCGCCAATGGTCCACTAAAGATCTGAATACTGACCTTGCTTCTGACTTCAGATTGTCTCAAAACCAGTGAGAGATATGAGGGTGTTCATTTAGAATTTCCTACACTGAATGGTCCACAATCCACACGGGCATCTTTTCGATCTGGACAGCAGATTGAGATGCACCTCTGCGCAAAGACTCGTCTCAGCACGTGCTGCAAAAATTAAAATAGACTCAGCCAGTCGTTGTTGCGCGTCAATGAAAAAACGGGACCTATACCTTTTAACATCTTGGCCCTGGCTTCAGTGTTCCCTTTGATAGGTGAATGTTCTTTCCAGCCTTCTCCTAACATCTCGTGCGTGTACAGCACAATGCACCAGCGGCTATATAAGCAAGAAGATCACAGCATGGTCAGCCAGCTAAATGCCGTGCGCTGCATGCTTCTTGAAGGGTGCATCTGCAGCTCATCGCCGAGAGAACAGGATCCAACTTCTTGCTGCTGGGTCATCGTCCGATGATCTCTGCTAAGTTTCGTCTGATGTGGACATGCCATGAGCATGCCATGTTAATGTTTTGGTCCTGGTCTTGCCTTCAGGCCCAACCTTGAAGAGTAAACACCAACTGGCTGTTCTTCCAACATCTTCCTCAACACCTCCTCCTTCTATTTGTTCTAGTTCTGCATGACAATCTGCCTGACCACCCACCGACAAAAAAGCTGTTTGTGCTTGACCACAAAGAATTAAGACGATGCCTCAGCTATTTTGCCAACACGTCATCGTGACAGCACCACCACTGACTATCCGTCAACTGACTCGTCTCCCTTCACAAAACATAGCCTCTGTCCGTCGAGTTTCTCCTTTTCGTCTCTGCAAGAAAATCGGAGGTGTTACTGATGTGTTCGATGTCCACTCCAGTGTTTCCACCAGCTCCAACACTGATTCTTTCAGCTCCATGGCGCCAGCCAGTGTGCAGCCGTGAGGATCCAAACAGCCTCATCCAGCGCTGAGCTTCAAACCCTGGGAGGTCCACTTGGCCGAGGTGACGTGCCACGGCAAGGAGAGCTCAAAGACCTGCACCGTCAGACAGAGCTGGTGGGCGGCGTTGTCGTCGGTGTGGTCGAAAAAAAGATAACAACCGTTGGAACGAAAGAAAGAGTAACAGGCTGAGATGAAAAACCCGGCACAAAACCAAAAAAACATATAGGCGTGACATAGGCGTGACCGCTTGAGCTACGCTGGAGTGTTGACCCCCTCGTCCGCCCCCGCACCACTGCGAGCGTTTGCTCGTCGGCCTCGTCGGTCTCCGGGCGTTGGACCCGGGCGACATGGCCATCGGTGGAGAGCTGCAGGCTTCGACGCTGCTCTGCAGTGAGGGATACACGGAGGTGGACTGATTCGGCGCTCAAATCCTCGGAGAAGAACACCAAGACACATCAACCAGTCACAACCATGGGGTGGTTTTAGTCCCTAATGTAGGCCCTAATGTGGGTGGATGTTCTGGGCACCCCTATACTCCAATAGGCGCCCCTTTGTGACTGCTGGAAATACACACTTAAACATAAACAAAGCGCTGGATTCCTGTGAACCTGGACCTCGGGTCCAAGTGGATGAATGAGAATGTGCAGTTCGAAGATCCCCTCTGCCCCAAAAGTCACAGCTTCCGTGTCTTTAGATTATCGTTGTTTCACCAACAGCAGTATTGCAGGTGGTTCATCACAGACTAATACATACGCAAAAACTGTAAATTATGAACTACAACACTGATGTAGGCTCCACAAAGGAACCAACCATCATTTCCTGCTATCTGAAACTTGGTTATCCCCACCCCAGTCAATGTCTACAAACAGAGCTGCAATGATTGAGGCCCAGCATGGGAATGTCTGCACGTCCAATGCGCCTCCCCTCAGCTTCAGCAAATAAGCAACCTTAGATTGGGAGACAACGAAGGGAAAACTGCAAACTGACCAAGGCCGTTAGTTTTTTTCTTCAAGCCCATGTTGAATCTAGGTGTGCTCAGTGAAGCTGCTTTCAAAGGATCACTAATTGAATGGCACAAGGGACCTGTGCAAAAGCAAACAGTTCAGGGAGAAAAGGCATGAAAAGGCGCCTGTCTTGACATCTTGTGAATCCCCACCAGCCCCATCCACAGTATGTTCACTCTAGGAGAAGTAGCTCCTTTGAGATCCATTGCAGAAAGTTTTCTTGCAAAAAAAAGTCCGTTGGAGCAATTTCGAGGCACACTCCCCGGCAAGTCGTGCGTGGACATTTCCCAGATTGACTCAACTGCTGGCTCTGGCCAGGCTCGGAAGCTGTTCAAGGGCGCCAGGGAGACGATGAGAGTGTGCCCACCTGGGGAGGACACCTTTCTGACACCCAAGAGATCTAGTCATAGATACTTGTGTGTGGGATCAGCTAGTGAACCCCGAGAATCTATGCAGATTTTGCATGATCTAGCCATACTTCTAAGAAGCTGAGCAGATCCAGGACTTCAACCATCTTCAACCCACCCGTGGAGCTCGAAGATCAACTCAAACCCTCACCTGGCTGCAAGACTCGACGGTACTGGGCCAAGAGCTGACCCAAAGCCATGCCACAGGGGTCTTCGGATGCTTTGGGACCCAGAAGGCCCTTGTCCAGGACCAAGTCGAAAGTGTTGGACCACGACCTCGCTTGCAAGAGCCAGATTCCCGAAATTGGACGGACTCGCAAAACCGACTCTACTATATATATACCTGGAACCTGAAACGACCACTTTTTTTTGGTCGTTTGAAAAAGACCATTTTTTTTTGGTCGTTTCAAAAAAATACGGTCGTTTCATCTTACAGTCATTTTCTGTATGAAAAATACGGTCGTTTCATGTTGCGCGCATTTTACAATTGAGTTCAATGTCTCTTATTCATCAGCTTGTTGCTTAAAAAGTGAAACTTCATTCACCCTTTAGGTGAATTGTTAAATGGTTGGTGCCTTGACAGGCACCTATCGATCGAGCGAAATTGGTTTTGTTGAAAGGGTGGTGCCTTCACAGGCACCTGTCAAGAAGGTACTCATGCAGGCACACTTATGACCTTAATGCACGAACGCGAGCATAAACGGAACAGAAAAGAAACAAAGCACACTTTTTCACTGACAATCTCAGCAGCGATCCTTCAATGCCACCAGCACAGCACACTTCCAACCTTGGAGTGTGCGGAGTTGAACAGTCTTGCTAGCAACACGTCGGCTAATCCTCGCTGTATGTCCCACAAAGTCTTCGTCTAAGGGGGTGCTATCAACCAGTGGGTTCCACACATACCCACACCGTGAGTGTTGCATGCACATCACTGTCACCACGTGATGAAACAGATGTGCTTTCGGAATCATATTGTACAACAAGCGTTCCTTTTCAAATGCCAAAATGGCAAGCTTCTGATACAAATTGCAAAACAATTGGCCTTTGGCCACCAAAGATGCAGCTGCATCACCATAGATCCACACACCCAATTCATGCAATGTTCCCCAAAATTCATTCATCGCTTTTGCTGCATCCCTGATGAACATCAAACTTCTAGAGCCGTTGAACTTGCTTTGGTGGACGCCACACAACCACTCCAAAAACCGCATGAACACAAGAGTCCTGTGCCTTAGACCAAAAACCACACGCAAAGTCTGAGGCACTATACCCCATTAGTGTCAGATTCAGCGTGTTTGCATGCAGTTTGAGTTTCTTTCCATCAGGCCCACGCTTATGTTCATTCCAGACTGACGATTTTCGTCAATGATTCCAATTCAAAAGGTGCTTGCTGCATTGGTCTCTGTCACAGCAAGCAGTTGATTCCAAAAAGCTGGGTGAGCTTTTCCCACCTAGCTATTATTCCTGGCTTCCTGCCGGTCCTGTCCGTTTCATGTGACAGTGTCACAATGTGTCACATGGGCATCCTCAAGCCTCTTCATCGGTGAGCTCCGGCTTCATCAGGTAGCGCGAGCCAACTCCGGGGCGAAGTCTCAAGTACATCGGTGACTCCATCGAACACATAAAAAAATCCATTGTCCAAAAGCCGACCATTTGCATCAGAAGCAGAAGCATCTGGTATGGTAAGGCATCTTCCAAGGGCAATGGATCCAACCGCCCATCCAAGGCAATGGGGCGATCTTGCAATGGGATCGGCCCTGGCGATGGGGGAGGTACGCGACCATCATCCATCCAAAAAACGAAGCGAGTGACACCTTCCGTCACAGATCGACAGGCCTGCCAGGGAAACTATGATTCAAAAACAAGCATGCAGGACAACCAGAAGAAACCAAAGCATGAGACAATACACGACAACCAGACCAGGAAATAACATGTTCTGAACAGAAACAACATACAGTATATAAAAGCCACTGACACATCGACTGCCTTGTGTCCCTGCAAAGTGAACAGTAGATCGTGACACACTGCTCCTTTACAGCATGAGAAGCCCCATAGTCGGAAGTCCCCATCCACCCATTGCCATGTCCCCACAGAGCCAAAAGCGATGTTCTTGCTCCTGAGTGGGTCAAAAATGCTCTAACAAATTAACCATGTATCAAAATGACTTATGAGCGAAAAATATAGAAAAATTAAAACCTCCCGCTAGACTTTATGCCACACACTTCAATACTGGTACTCAAGTGTTAAAAAATACAAATTGTCTGAATTCAAGTCTAGGCACTTGGTCCTTCGTAGGAATCCTACCCTTTGTTGACCTTCCACTGTGAACAGGAACAACCACTCGGAGTAGCGTTTCGTACCGCTGTGGTAGTACTTGCCAACCTTGCATTCAGCAAGGGTTGTGCCACACATAGCCAGGTCCTGTAGCCAAGGTCCCACTGGAGGTGCTTGACCAGGATCTAACTGAGGGTGTTCACGAATTATTTCACGCACAGGAAGGAGCGCCATGCCCGTAAATCAAGCAAACAACTTGAGATCCCTCTCAGTGACTCCACCAGGAGAGCAGCCAGGGCAAAACTTGGGCCCAAAAAAGACCATGATATGTCACGATATCAAAGGCATTTCCTGCAAATTGCTCACAACATCAACATGGGTCTAGTATCGATCAATCTATATAACCTTGAGGCTGTCGAAGCTGGCAAAGCCAAATCCCCAAGTTCATCTATAGGGTAACACTATAGACACACATGGACACATAACTCACACAAGTGTCAAGCCCAGGCGTAGCCAGGGCCATGGCCCGAGGCTGCGATTCAGCCGATCCTTCCCCCTCCCCACGAACCGAAGTGGTGATCTGGTCCACTTCCTTGCTGCCACATGTCCCAGTGGTCCGAATCTCAACCCAGTACTCGCGGATTTTGCCTAGCTGCATCCAAGCCACTGTGTTGCTCAGGTCCTCAAAAGGATGATCCCTTGTGCCAGCCATGCACAGCCTCAATGTCAACTCTCCTGCATTGCCATGCATACTATGGGGTTTGAACCTGCTGACCACGTCACCTTTCATCCCAATGGTGGCAAACTTGAACTTCAGCCCCCCATAGTTATAGCCCTCCTCATAGAGTCGCTTCATGCCATTTCCTCAGTTCATAATTTTAACGATATCAACATTATTAAAACAATCGCAACAAACCACAGCACACATGCAAACAAGATTCCAAAAGCTCTGAACAGTCGGTTCAACGGCTGGGGTGTACCGCTGTACATTGCGCGTGGAGGGACACTGAAAAGGAACCGGGTTTTGCAGGTGTTGCCACAGTAGTTGATGGCCAACCCAACTCTACTTGGCAAAGCCTTTTTTGTTCCTCCTCCCAACACTGGCTGCCATTGAAGGATCATCATCTCTGTTTTTTTGAAGTGTCGACCTCCATCTCCATGGAGCTGTACCGGCACAAGGCTGCTTGCATCAACGACACCCTGTCGAAGACCTTCCGAAACATCATGGTTGGGGAAGACGTGTTGGAACCACTGCCAAAAATTGGCCAAATCTTCATGGCCTGCAGTTGCCCAAAACCCATGTCTCACACACAGTGACCAACGACAACCAAACGGTCTCATTAATCCAAGGCACACCTCTTCAGGGTCACCCCAAGGGCAGCTTCAAAATGGCCATGTTGGGCCAAAGCTGCAACAACATCCATGCGCTCTATGGCCGGGTAGTTCATGAGCTTCTTTGACACACCCAACCTGACGCTTGGACTTTCCCACTCTTTGGGTGCCAGTGCCAAAGAGCATTGACAATCATGCACAAAAAAATGAAACAACTCTTGTTCTCCAAGCGTCTGCAGGAATGATATCTTGGCCTGGAAAGTGGCCTTCTTGCAGTCACCCATGACTTTGTGCACATGTTCTTCTGCATCTTTTGTTGACCCTTTTGCCAGGTCCTGCAAACACAGGTGGTGCACACAGGTGAGGGCCTTCGCAGGTCCCATGCTCTCGCTTTAGGCAACTGGTCCCAGCGACCTTGAACATACACGATGCGGCCACCTAACTTATACAACCAGGCCCCAATCCTGCACATCACAATCAGCAATCCCATCTTCTGCATCTATCTGCGCACACTCCACAATGCTTGACGCAGGAACCTCTCAGGCAGAGGGAAGTTGCACACCTGATCACCCAGTTGCATTCCACAAGCAGCGAGTGCCAAGCGCCACACCCCTTTGGCCAACTGGCTGCAAACATGATTGTAAAAACATCAGGTGCAGGTTTGCCAGACATTGGTTCTGCCCTCTCGGGCACACATGTGCCTTCTCAGGCACATGTGAGTATATTGATTTAAAGTATGATGTCCTGGACATAGTTTGATAAACCCTCATCCGTCTCTGGAATCTCTACCTGCTCAGGCTGTTCATGGCAAGTATCAACATGCATGCATGCCATGCGCCTTGACACGTGATTCCAACCTTGCCAGTCCACCAATGAGGGTCGAACCTGACCTGCATTGGCCTTAGAAAAACAATCCACATAAAGTTCAATACCCTATTTTGGCAACCCATGGGCCAAGTCACTCTCCAGGGTCATCGATTTTGCTTCCATGGTGATCACCCAAACCCAAGAATTGAGCACAAAAAGCTATAGCCATCAAGTGGCTCTGAACCATGCTCCCCGTATACGTATTTATACGGATTTATACGGTTTGCATACGGTTTGCATACGGTTTGCATACGGCCTGTATACGCTAACAACTTGAAGAATATACGGTCGTATACGCAAAATATACGGTCGTTTCAAAAAAATACGGTCGTGGTTCGAAAAATATACGGTCGTTTCCAGAAATATACGGTCGTGGTTCGAAAAATATACGGTCGTTTCCAAAAAATACGGTCGTATACGGTCGTATACGATATCCAAAATCACAAAAAATCAGCAAAAACATCAAAAATGCAAAAAAACTGACAAAAATGCTCCAGTGAGCTCACTCAAAGCCATTTTCCATCACACCAGCCTGTCCTCTCAGAGTTTGGTGGGCACCAGTGGCCTCCAAGACTCCGGAATCTTCAGCCCTTTCAAGGACCGTAGGTATCTAATCACCTCTATCAGGCGCCCATCTGCAACCAAATCATCAAAACTCTCTTGTTCGAAGGCTTCCTGCGCCTCCTGCATGGAAGCCTTCAAGGGAAAGTCACTCACAGGTGGCTTCATGTGGTTCCTTTTGAACACCTCCACAATGTGCTTCCCAAAAAGGCGAGCGTAGATCCTGATATGGTGTTCAGCTCAATTTGATCACCAAATATTGTAAATCTCAAATTTAATTAATGCAACTCAGGATCCCTGCTGTAAGCCAGCGCGTTCCCTTCCAGCATTTCTTGCCCTTGTGGACATATTTCATCACCGGCTCTCCAAAGTCCACATCCTTCAGCAACTTGGCCTTTTTTCATAGAGAGCTTTGGTGTCTGAAAATGCATGCAGCCAATGCTGTTTGACCACAACATTGACCTCGTGGGTGTTTTGGCACCAAAACCTGCCATCCAAAAGGCAACATCATAGACCTGAATCCTGGCAGCTACATCTCGCATAAGCCCATATTGCATCAGCAGCGAGGAACGTGGTTGCTCAAGAGCCCAAACCCCTCCAAGGGCATGGATCAGCAGGAAGAGGAAGCTGCACCTGCAACAGACGATGCGCAATGCACAGGCCTCTGCAGGCCAACAAACCAGGCCAGCAAAGGCCCACAGGCAGGGCCTGCGAAGGCCCTGCCATGGCCCACCCATCCAACAATATACCAGGCCGGCAAAGGCCCACAGGCAGGGCCTGCAAAGGCCCAACCATCCAAGCTTAGCCCCCTGCCTGGCTGCCATGCAATTGCCCTCATCCACTGCAGGCCCTGACGCACCCTCAGGAACTAGCCAAGTTCTGAAAATAGAGCCACGAGATGTTGCAACCCACGAGGAGCATAGTATGCCAAACCATGCCAGAGTTGGTGCATCAATGCGGGAACGAAGTATTGTAGCCACATGCAGCCTAAGTCCAGCGCAGTCAGAATACACCCACGCAACACATCTTGCAAAAACAAGGTGACAATAAACGCAAAGCCAGCAGGAGCATTGCAATCCATAGCACCACCAGGAACATACTTGATGTCCACACTGGCTGTGCGATAGCCGCTGCATCGAGCTTCATCCGTGAGCGCTCCACATCCAGCAAAGAACTCCAACAGATCGTACACCTGCACTCATGACTGTACACATGCACATACTAAATTTGCATGGTGCAAGAGGTTGCAGAAACACTCAGGACATCTCATGACATTCACCCTTTGTTGCTCACAGAGAGGTCCACAGTTCAGCTGTATTGAAATTGAAATCAAGGCTCCAGGCGTCATGCCTGCGTGCCAAAATGGCAACATGTACAGCCAGCCCCTCACTTCTTGCTCATCTTCCTTGGAACTGAGGGCTCACGCTGATTCTTGCGCTTCAGGCCACTGGTAGCTGGATCTGGCGCTGCCGGTGGCACTGCATCAGCAGGAGCGGCACGGGCCTTCCCCTTCATTGCAGGCGGTGGTTGGGGCATCGGCTTGCACTTGACCACAAGTCGTGGATCAGGAGGCTTTTGCAGTTTCTTCTTCACCATCGCTGCAGCACTACCACGCAAAGACGGCTTTGGTGGTGGCTCACTTTTTGGTGCATCCGCAGGATCCACCACCTCCTCCACTTCGGTAAAGTTACCCTTTTTGCGATTCTTCTCCCGCTCTTGGAACTGCTGAAGGATCTGACGCGCTTGAATCAAGAAAGCATCATTGTCCACTGACAGCTCGGGCCCCTGTGCCTGAAGCTTCCAGGCAATGTATAAAACACATGTGTGTGAAATCAAGCCTGTTATTTAAGCCAAAGCACAGGATGTCCTTTGGGGTGTTTCCGGTCATTCTTCTTATCCAGCTGGTTTGCCCATTCTGGCATGTCCACCTCAGATCAGATGTATCAATCATGTACATTTCATGCATGGCCACTCGAACTGCCACACATGCCAGGGTACATGAGTTGGATCAGAATTCTTGGACTTTGCCATATTTGGTGCTGCATGCGGTACCTCAGCTTACTTCAAACAATCACCATTGCACAAGATTGAAGCGCATATATAACCAAGTCACATGCAGCTGTCCCTGTTGGTGATAACCCTGATCCTGCTGTTGCTGTGGCACCTGTGGCCCCATTGGCGGTTGAGGCACCTCATTTGCATTCACACATGCTGGAACTGCCACAAATGTGCAATGAACTGCCACACATGCTGAAAAAACTTCTAAATTAAGGCACCTTGTTTGCGTCCATGTTCGGCCCTTTTGGCATCCCCATTGGCGGTGTTGGTTCCATGTACAACGCCTCAATCACTTCAAATGGCATGACTTGTTTGAACATGCCTGTATACAAGCCAACCAAGTCACCTGATCATCTTGCTGCTGATTCATTTGTTGCACCTCAAGTCACTGACCAAACACGCAGACATGAAAGAGCCACACATGAAACGCACACATGCATCATTTAGACAAGCGCAAACAAATTAAGCCCAGATGCCATTTGTGCAAGGAGGACCGGGTCAAGCACATATGGGCCCATCACCGATGGAGGCATCGCATTCCCTGCAGGCATCATAGGTGTTGGAGGAGGCATTGGTGGATGCATCCCAGCCATCGTCATTGGGGGAGGCACCATTGGAGCTGCAGGCATTGGGGATGTCATCTGGGGCATCATCATTGGCGGAGGCGACGGCATCGGAGCCGCCATCGGAGGTCCCATCATTTGTGGAGGCAGCGGCGTTGGGGCTGTCATCTGAGGCCCTGTCATTTGTGGAGGCAGCACTGTTGGACCTCCATGCATTGGGGCTGTCGTTTGAGGTGGTACACTTGGAGGCGCTGGCCGCTTTGGAGGTGGTGCCCTTGGTGGCACAGTGGATGCTGGGCAGGAAGAGGCAGGTGAGCCAGCTTCTGCTTCCGCAAGCTCATCATAATCAGCTGCCTCTACCTGGGATATTGCCAATATTAATAAGTGCATACACTACCATATACCAAGCGCATGCACTAATAGCCAAGATACCATGTTCCGCATCATGTTGAGAAGGAGCTCTCGGTGCCTTTCCCCTTCCTGAGTCCCCAAATCAGCAACCACCAATGCAGCAACAAGCAAGCACATGCAAATCAACACATACAAATCAGCATATCAAATTATAGCCAAGTCTCATGAAGTTGGCCATCTGCACGGGCAGTCTGGCGATTGGCAATCGTCTGCAGGTTCTCCAGGCCCTGTAGATTGCGAATCAACTCATTGTTGGACTGCAAGGCCTGCACGAGTGCCCTGGTTGCCTTCCGCATTTCTGTGGCCTCTTGGCATCTTGAGCCACGAGACTGCTGAAAGGCCAAATTGCAGGACCATTCACATGCAAGCTGGCATCAAGGAGATGTCATACACACTCACTCAACAGCACGAATATCGGCCTTCGCAGTCTGGCTCTGAACACCCAGATCTTCATTCCATACCACCAGTAGTATGATCAGCACGAAAACCTAGCACAAAAGGCAGGTAAGCAACTTCCAGCACTCCAAGGCCAGCAATGGCCCAAACACTGGGCCTGCAAAGGCCCAAGCATTAAGACTTAATCCTTCAGGCCCCCAAAGGCCCAAAGGCAGGCTGGCAAAAGCCCAAGCACCCAAGGCCTACAAAGGCCCAGGCACCAACGCAAATAATGAGTTGCTGCCAAGGTTCCTTAGGACATTTGAGTTTGAACAAGCTCATCACCAAACCATTCACATCCCATGCGCGCCTTGCTTGATTGTTTGTGCAGTTCACACATGCATGCACTCATGCACATGTCTTTTAGTCCCTATATAGCTGGCGAGCCTCACACTGCGTGCAGCAGCATCAAAAGCTTGCTTGTTCAACCAGGCCACGACAATGGCACATAGCCACGCATGCACCAAACACTAACCCCCTTTAAATTTAAGCAAAATGCTGCAGGTTGCATGCACATGAAACGCTTACAAAAGCACAAATGTGCTTGCAAAAGCACAGATGTGCTTGCTAAAGCACATCAAATTATAATGTGAACTACAGAATTCCCTTGTGTTTTACTGTGTGTGCATGTACTGACATACAGAATTAGCTTGTGTTTTACAGTGTGTGCATGTACTGACATACAGAATTAGCTTGTGTTTTACAATGTGCATGCATATGAACATACAGATTTACCTTGCGTTTTGTGTTTCAACTTATATATTCAACTATATAGTTGAACATCATCATAATTTACAAAAATACGGTCGTTTAAGAAAAGACCATTTTTTTTGGTCGTTTCAAAAATTTTTGGTCGTTTGACGAAACAACCAAAAAAAGGTGGTCGTTTCAGGTTCCAGGTATATATACATCTATATACACCATGTACCATGATCTGTGGAAATTGGTGCTTCTGGAATCTGGAACTGCGGGAAAAAACACACACGTGCACACAAAAGAACTGCAAGTGCTCTGATAGGCAAACGAGCAATGACAAGTGGAGGGTGGTAAAACAGCACGCATTCAAAACAAAAAACTAACATGGGCTGGGACAAACAAATGAACTGTTACCACCTACTGATAGCTTGCACATAATATGTGTGGTACATTGTGATACAGTAGGTTGCCTTTCCGCAGCTCCCTCTTCCAGAAAAACAGGGGCCCTTATTTTGACCCTTGCGGACTGAGTGTAGATACAAACATCTCCACCGAAAGAACTTGACGTGACCTGGTCACTGGGGGTCATCACCACTCCAGTCGCCCACAACCCTTAGTCACCAGAAGCGAACTCTTCACATCCGTCCTTCGAACGCTTGAAACGACGGAGGCACTCAGGCAGTGCGAAGGCATCGGCGCAGCACCATTCCACCTGGCGGTCCGGTCCAGGACTCGGCATCCTTGAGGGAGTGAGATGTGCCAGCACCCTCAAGAAAACCTCTTGGACACCAGGGTGGTCACCTGTGACTTTGGAGACCTGCAAAAGCCACTCTAGAGGAGACCAGCTTTTGGAGGCGACTCCTGGTGGGTGTGTGTCAAACACAGCGTAAAGCAAGACGGGTCAAGACGGGTCTGAAGACGGGTCGAAACCGCACCCAGGGGGTCTGAACGCCCAGGTCCAGTGTCGGTCTGCCTATGTAATACATATCACACCATCATTATGTGTTGGAAGCTGTTTGAGATCAAGGACCAGGTTGCCAAGGGGGGTGAGGGAAAGGACCATTGGAATCGATCTCCTCCGGAAAGAAATAGATGTCGAATGGAGCTCAGTGCCATAGAAAAGCACTTGCTCAGTGCCATGATCTTGCTCAAACTCCACCACAAAGCCGTGCCTCCGACAAACGAACTCTTTCTTTTCCTAGGCTCTTAGATGACCTCCACTGACCACGCACCAACTGGCCCTGACTTCCCAAGAAGCCCCGCTCCTGGGCTCCTGGCCTTGGGCTGCAGTTTCTCCATCCATGCCACGCAGCTGGGTGACACGTCCATGGCCCAGACCTTCCAACCCTTCTCCACCAAGCGCTGCGGTAGCTCGGACGTGCCGGATCCCACCAGAAGTGCCTGGAGGAGACACATAGAGACAGAGACGTGGAGTCCCACTCCCTGGAATCATCCTCGTTACACTCCAGAAAACTAATATGGAAGCTGATAACCACTGGGTTATAGAGGAAAATAGTCTTTCAAAGGTCCATCTTCAGGTTCCATGTGGGTCTCTTCCCAGGTGTATGTGGATGAAGTGGACACATGGACCCAACTATATAGCTGGTCCAAATTCGTTTCGAGCCCAATTCGTCGGGAGGTGCTTGGTTTATCCACATGTTCTTAAGTCGTGCAGAAGTAGTACCTTGCTGACGTGACCACTGCAGCGGACTAAACCCCGGTTGCCGCACCGGCGGAGAAGATCGGGTGTGGAGCCTCAGGGCGTAGCATACAATGGGTCAGTACGCATCAGTGATGCAGGTTTCATGCAGGTTTCCTATCCCACATCTACCCAGTGACTATACTTTGGTCTCGCCTGATTTTGTCGGTTGCTCAGAAGGGTATATAAGGTTGTTGGTTGGTCCTCTGTGTTAGGAAAGGCTCGAACGCACTTGGCTGGTTTTACTTCAAGAACTATTCATCGCAAGACTCCCAAGAAAACCTACAGTGGTATGTTGGTTCTGTGATGAACACTTAAAACAAACAATGGCATCAATTGCATCTGAATATGATGCAAGTGATGCAAGCGCACCAAGTCAAAGTTCACCAGTTTCCCAATCTTGATGTGTTCGCACCAATATGCAATTCTATACTGCAAATTGACCAGGTCGTCCTTTGGTGACTGACGATCTTCGTCTGAAGACTGATGAAGATCACTCCCATCTCCCACAACTGCTGGCGTTCAGCCGTTCTGCAGCAGCTGATATACCATGATACACATAGAAACAAACAACCTGAGCGATGTTGGATCTCAACCAATGGTCACAACTCTTCGGATCGTGACCGCGCCTGTCCCTGACCGTGGTGGATGGGCAGTAGTGGCATCAAAGAGTCGGGATCGCAGTAGCAATCCTCGCTGCGCAGGGACCCTCCACGCCGCTGCAAGCTGCGGGCATAGTAACTCTCCCAGTAGTCCGAGTCCATGCCGCAGCCCCTCCATGTGCCAAAGCTGTTCCAGCTAGATGCGGAAACCAGTGGCGAGATCCAGTGTGATCTATGATCCGAATCAGGTGATTTATAAATGATCTATGAATCTATGATTTATCATTCGTATGATCTATGATAGTCCAGCAAACACTATACGAATGATTGGTGTTTGCTGGACTACACTATACGAATGATTGGTGTTTGCTGGACTACTAAGAAGTCCCACATATGGCAGTGGGTCAAAACCTCACTCACCGAGTGACCCGTGGTGTGTCCCGGTGCCACCCACAGCCAGTCGGTCAGGCCCATTGAATTGCTAGGTTTGCACACGCTGCAGTCGTTGCCAACCCCCGACAGTCACAAGAAATGACGAGAATTGTCTGGATGATTGTTGCTTCAGTATGTTCCTACCTCAGACTGAATTCACCTCTCTTCACCCACTTCACAGGCGAAATCGCACACCTTTCACACATTGATCAGAAGCTTCACATCCAGATCTCATCAGATCTCCGCCTTCTTGGATGCTGCTGTTACCCCAGCTGAGCCTGAGGCACTGACCCTGACTGCTGATCTCCCAACTTCAAAGGCTCCGGGAAATCGAGTCAACCCTGTTCCAAGGACATGGTATGCCTGAAGATCTTAGAAGATTTGATGGCATGATGGCATGAAGCCAAAAAGCAGGATCTGTTCCCAAAGAAACACCAACATTTCAATGATCCACAAGACGACGTCTTTTTGTGATGAAAAAAACAACGGGTCTTCTCGGCGTGTCGAAGAAGTCTCCATTGGGCATTTGTCAAGCTCGCTGGTGAGTGCATGCTCCGTCCCAAATTCTTTTCACCCCAGGGCCCCTTGGCTCTTTTCAACATATTTCAACCAACCCAAAAAGCAGAAAGAACAAACATCTCGAGATAGATGCGCCATCCGGTCCCGTCCCACGGTATCTCACTGCCCTGGTCGTCCCGCGGGTGCCGCGGGTGCCCTGGCAGGTGCCCTTCGAGCCGAGCGATTCGACCTGAGGCCGCTCTGTTGGAGAGTGAGATCTTTTTTATCCACAATGTTGCACCAATCGCAGCACATGTTTGTGAAACATTGTGAAACCACATGTGCGGTGAGAATTTTTGTGTTTTATTATTCTTCGGGTGAGGATGTTTCTCCTGCATGGCAAGAGATGGTAACCCAGCTTCTGCAGTTCTTCTTCAGTTTGTCGCTGAACTTGGAAGTTGTCGGTCTAAGTGAACTTCTGGGCAGGTCTAAGTGACCTCGGTTTCCGGTCATGCAAAGGTCGTGTTTCTGTAAGGAATCGCATACAGCACTAGGGTGATCCAGTTGATCTGGATAGAACTTTGCCACATTGCACGCGCACGTCACATGAGGTACGCTCCAAATTTATGGGGTGCGGCTAGTGCATCGTCCAATTTGTTGTCCCGATTTGTCCCGTTTGTCTTGGAACCATGTTACAGGGAATCGTATTTTTGTTGCTGCGTCCGAGCGTGGGTTTGGAGCATTTTATAAGTGAAACACTCTTAAGACTGTAAAATTGCACTTATAATCATCGCACATATATATTTGACACACTCTTATGAAACACTCTTTTACTATGAGTTTATGTTGTAATCATCGCAAACTTAGGCACTTCATGTGGAACTGGACCGTTCAACTGAACTCCAAAAGACCCTCCAGGCCCCACACGTTGCAGTGCCAAGACCGCCATGTTCAGCATGGATTCTCGAAAGAAACCCACGGGTTCCTCGCACGAGCCAGTGAGGAACCAACTTCACCTCCCCCAAATCCACAAAACAGCATATTATGTTTTTTTGGAGAGTCCTCGCCCATCTATAGAGTACCAGGATGACATGTTTCACTCCCCAATATATAGAATATATATAGAGAATTCCTGATTCCGGTGAAGGTGACACCGGCAGTTGGACCAAAAGCCTCCGAAAACCCGGAAAACCTGCCGCATGTCCCCGTCTCCTCCTCTTCGGCGGCGGCGTTCAGTCACTCCCAAAGCTGGCGTCCCCCTTGGGCCGCCTTGCACAAGAGCCTTGGATGCGTTGACGACCCAGCAGCAACTCCTTTCAATCAGTCACCAATGCGCAAACACACCCACAGGTTTATATTGGACACCACAAACGTGAAGGTCCAGATTTGCTTGAGATGCTCCGAAGGTCCTCCGCATCTCGAGCATCGTGATAGCTGCTCGCAGCTCGTACCAACGGCAACGTCTTCCAACTCCACCAGTTCTTTCACAACTAGCATCCCGTTTGGGCTCCTGTCCCATCTCCTCAGGTTCGGTGGTTAGACCCCCCTGGCACCCACCACAGTCCCATCTTCGAAACGGAGGTGGAGGTGGGCCAGGAGCCCTAGGGGATGGTAAGGTGCCAATCTCCTGGTGTTGGATGACCAGAACCCGAGATGACAACATGCCCCTTTGGTAGAAGTTCTTAGCTGTTTTGTTCAGCTTCAGCTTCAGCAATGTCAGTGTTTTGGGGACCAAAGCCCTTTAGGGCCCTTTGGGGTGCGGAAATTAATCCATGCCATTTGCGCTGCTCCACACAGCCTGGCTCAAGAATCATCAAAGTACACAGCGATCACTGTTCTAGAGTTTTCGAAGAAGGTCTTTGAGGGGCTGGAGACGCTCCCACTTTCAAGGTTTTTTTCCAAAGGCGTCGGCGTTGCAAAACACTTCTGAGGTTCCCAACTGCCGAACATCGTCCAGATCATCTTGATCTAGGACCTGGATCATCAGGCATCGACCAGCCAGGGATATCTAAAACCCAAAGCCAAGACAGCTGGGCCACAAAGGATCCTTCCAACAGAGAACCTCACACAAGTGAGTTGCCTCAAGACTCTGTTCATCCCACCTACAAGTGTACACCCCAAATCATCCCACTTATTGTGCACTTAATCAACCCCGCATGGCAACCAACATGGTCCATGAGAAACACGGAGAAACACTTGAAAAACTAGATCAAACATAAACCAAACGTCTCCTGCAGGTGCAGGTTGGACCAAGCAGAAACTGAATTGACATAACCCTACCGGTCAAAGACCTCTTTTTGCTGGTGTTGGTCATACAAAACCACTGCTCAATGAGGCCAGTAGGGCAAGTATTGTTCTCTGAACGTGACAATCCCGCAGTCTGAGCATGCAGTGGAATTGGTCAACAAGTCAGTCATACTTGTGGTCATAATTACTAACTGGTGGGATCTTCGATGTCCAATCGAAGTCCATCGACTATTGGCTATGGACTTGCTGAGCTTGCTGGGAAGCGCTCCGCTTTTGCCAACACTTCTTCGGCTCACAGCCTCCATGGAGTGCGAGCACTCCATAGTGCTCGGTGTCCAAGACATGTTTCGAGATGCTTTTCTGATGGAATTCCTATAGGCTTCACATGTTCTAGAAGTATTCAGGGCTCACAAAAACTCGGTCAGTGCAAACCATGTTCATCCATGGAAAAGAAACCACATCGAGGAGCCACCCTCCTGTTCGGGCCCCAAGGCCCGCAAAGGGCCGACCTCCAGCATGTCATGGGTGGTGTAGTCCCGACTGACAGTGGGACATTGCATCGCCTGACGCGTTTTGATCGAGCAAAGAGAAGCAATAATTAGGTGTTGTCTCCTTATCAAAATAGTTAAATGATGTAAAAGGTGAAGATGTAGAGTCTTGTTTTCTAGATGATTGAGTTTGTCTAAAGCACTGGATCCTTCTATTGTCAAGACTATTGTAGTGATTTCAGTCTATGATAGTCCATGCGTTGCGTTGTTCTCTTTGAGTACTGAGCCGTTTGCAAGCCTTGAAGGCACACGACTGTCCTGCCATGAACCGAGACTTGGTGGACCGTTGGATTTGCCAAAGCGGTGAACATCACCAGACTGTCTGGAGAAGAGAGGCATGGCCTCTTGGACTCATTGGGCTCTTGGAACACAATGTTCCTCTACAATTATGTGGTTTGCCACTTCCCTGTTAGTGACTCGGAGTGTATATTGTATATGGATATACACCCAGCATTCTGAACCTCCAAAAAGCACGACAAGCTGATGGACGCGTTTCAAAGCCGATGAACGCCGAAAAAAAAAAATCGTAGGTAAGACGCCCAAAGCCCAACTCACACCCTTTACCAGCCTCATCTATAAACCCCAGTGGATCCCAATTACCACTGTTTTTCTGGGTCTTTGGAACCACTGAGTGGTCCTAAACTTGTTATCCTAGTGCAGGTGGATCCACTGAGAAACACTCAACTATTCATCTCATTTCACCTCAGTTACATGCAGTGAAATCAAATCACACCCCTCCGCTCCCGTCCCTCTGGGTCACTCCCACCAGTTGGAGGCTTTCAGAGGCTCTCAGCTCGGAGAGCGCCGTCCTGCGCGGAGAGAACGGCACAGGTTGAAGAAAAGGTCTGAGCAGTGTCAGTTTGAGTAGACTCAATTATACTCAATCATACTCACACCCTTGAGCAGTGTCAGTATGATAAATGTGTGGTCTCATTTTACTTCTCATTCTTGGGGCTTAGCCAACGACCACTCTGAAGCCTCTGCGAACTCTAAGTACAAACAAATTGCCTCGGGTCGGGAAAACGACCTAAGACATCCTAAGACGTTGCAGCTAACTTCTGTAAACACACCAATGGTTCCCCAGGGTGTCAAACTTCCGGGTCAGCTTGTCAATCTCTTGGGATGGTCCTGATCTCGGATCTGATGTGCGCTGGAAGCCACTTGGATGTGACCCTCTGATCCTGCGCATCTTCCACGATGGCCACCAAACCTCGCGTGGTCGAGCCACGGACCGATCGACCAACCGGTGTCGATGCGATTTTCGGAGAAGCATATACCAAGCGAATGGCACGTGATGGCACGTGTGTCTCTAAAACCCCCGGAAAATGGATCCAACTCAGCTGAATTCTGCCAACCAACTGCACTGAGAGTAACCTGATCAGGCAAATCGCCAACCAACGGATGTCACTACAGCAAAGTCGTTCACTGAATCCTGTGTAGCGTCGTCATCTGCATCATTGATGCCTTCCTAGCATGTGTGTGTGTGTACTGTATACTGTATGCGGTATGCGTGTTGAAATAGGGAGATCCGCACAGATCCACCTGGAACAAAGGAACTGACTGTGGTAGACTGACTTATATTGTAGACTGCAAGGGCCCTGATGTATACTGCTTCCCCTACTTCATTCAAAGATCGAGTTCTCAAAAGTAGCTTGTGATGCCCCGGTTACCACGAGAGATAAAGGGGGGCCCAGCAGCTAGTTCGTTCAAAGTAGCTCGAAAGCTCGAAGAAGCGATAGCTCGATTGCTCCCTCCAAACGATTGAAGCTTCAACTGGCCAATTGCTTTAGCCTGATCCCTCCAACCGGGTGGATTGGAGTTTGCTCTAGCCTGATCCATCCTGATCCCTCTGCTTGATCCCTCTGCTTCCCATGTCATGATCGGTGCCTCTTGTGACTCTTGAATTGGATCCGTTGCATCCAAGCTGCTGCTCTCCCCAAGAAGCTTGGCAAGGAGCCTCGGGATCTCGCTTCGGATCCGCCCCGGACCGCTCCATCGAGGCGAGTCCCGGAGCGGTCCGGCCCCGGCGCTTTCAAACGTATCATTGACGAACCAATATACATAAAAACCCATGTTTTCGATGGTTTTCGTGCATGAACATAGCCAGTGGTATGCCAGTGGCTATCTTTTGAATCACCTGAATTGAATATATGTATATATAATCTCCACAGTTCGTTTCCCCGAAGCAACGCTGCTCCAAGTTTCTGGGCCTTCTCTGCTCCTTGATGCTTGAGTCGCTCACTTCTCGCAAGGACCTTCCAAAAGGTAGCGACCACGCCGACAAAACAAAACAAAGAAGTTCGGCGGGCAAGAGGCGAAGAGTGCGTGCACAAGAAACATTTCACCTGAATCCTGTACGTTTTGTGGGTTGCTTTGGCCCGTTTGTTGTGTGGTTTCCTGTGTGTCACGCTGTTCGGTTCGTTGTGAACCGTTACTCGCACCCACTTGGCTGTTCGACCCAAGAACTGTACAGTGTTGTGGTCTTTTGTTGCTAGCTTTTGTGGAAATTGCCAATGCGTAAAGGCCTATTGGTATCTTACACTGACACTTATCATTTATTTATGTGCATGCCGCTGCCTTTGAAGACCTTCTTGAAAACGTCCAACTGATCATGCCAACAAATCATCTTCCACCCGCATCATGGCATCAGAACGAACCGTTTTGTGGCTGCGACACGAGGGATGGGCTGTCACGACGAAAAGGATTGTTTGACCTGTCATGACGACCTACGGTGTGACGACCTACGGTGTGACGGACAACCAAAGCACAAAGATTCTAAAGATATGATTGGACTGCGGACATTTGTTGAGTGTCTATATGATGTCGATCCTGAAATGGAGGTGTCCAATGGAAATCTGGTACCTGAGGGCCAAACACATGCCAAAACAACTTAACTTCTGGGCATCTCAACACCTATATTGAACCCCTCCCGGCCTTCCAATGTAGGGTGTGTCACTAGGTCTGTCCACTCCATCCGAGAGGGGTCGCCTCCCCGGGCAGGGCCATCCGGCCTCCAAAGTCCGTGAGCCTCTCTGGCGGACAAACCTGGGTCCAACAAACGCAGCACGAAGCGTCACGAGGTCCACTGAGGCGGAGATGTGATGAGTCCAATGGCTGTTGGGTGGATCAGTTGTTGGTGCATCACTGGGTGTCGGCTCATGACGCCCACGACCGTGCTTGATACATGAATCTAAACATGGAACCATTGGTAGTGTAATTTTTCAATGTGATGATGGCTAATCTGAGCCAGACAGCAAGGGTCACCTACAAAGAGATGGGTCCATGAACGATCACGGATGAGCTAAACCATGCAGGCGTCCAACATGACATGATGTTCTGTTCTGCAATCGAAGATCTGGTAGGAGCTGGTGTGTTGGTGTCCCTGGGTCGCCTAAAGAGGTGGTTGTCAACCAGTCATAGAGGTGCTCTTTTGTAGGAAACTCGAGTCTCTAGGGCTCAAAAGCTGCTGGTCTTCAAAAGGGAGGACATCCATCTATGAATATTTGTTATATATTAATACAAACAGAATCCCAGATCAAAGCAAAGCGACATGCATCAAGCCATCTTGAAACTTAGTTACCTCATCCACGTATATAAGTGCCTTGGGCCTCCTCGTTTAGATCTGAAAGACCTATGCATGGGCCGGAGCATCACACAGCTACCAGTTGAACGGCAGGGATGTCTCATAGTTCTACGGTTGGTCCTACAACAGCGGTAGAACAAACAAACCAACACAGTAGTCAAATTGTTGTTAGCATTACTAAGACGACTAATTATACTGGAATCTGATCAATCTGTTCTTCAGGATGCTTCAATTGGGCTATGTGTTCACAGATTATCCTTGGCAATGGTGAACCAGCCCTACCAATGTGCACATGCATCCAAAACCATTTCAGCAGCATCCACAATCTTTTCTTTGGGGAATGGCCAGGAGACAAACGCTGCGCCTTGAATTGCGCCTCTGCTGCCAGGCGGCTTTGCCCTTCGGCACCATTTGGGCAAGGGCGAGGGTCCGCTTTCGCCATGGCCAATGCCGCACTTGAGAGAGGCAGTCGTGGAGGCCGGCAGTCGTCAGCGTGGCAACGAGGACAAACGCAAAAAGATCTCAAGAAGGGCAATGCAACGCAACAAACATTTTGCAGAAACACTGGAACCACTCTCCATTTGCAACAAGAACATCCAGTTCCTTGTGCGCGGCGGATGCTCCGCAATGTGGAACACATGCTCACTTTCTTCCCGCACCGCGTGATATCCCCCGGCAGCCTCCTCATTCGAGGTTGGCAAATCTTTGGCCAGTTGAGGCTTCAAACGGCTTGTGCCTCTTCAAACTTTCATGGAACTGGTTAAGGAATTCCGTCTTTCTAGGTGAGAAGTGCAGCACAAGCGAGAGTATATCTGATCCCCATATACACGGAGGACTGCAATCCAGCCATCTTGCCTTCTGTAAGTCTTTAACCACCCTACCGTACGGGGACCCTACCTGTTGATAGCCCCGCAAGTCATAAATGGATTTCAAGGCTTGCTCTACATAAGGCTTTTCCTCCAAGAGTGATGCATCTACAGATTCATACAAGCACACTCAAGTTTGCATACTGGGCCCACAAATCTTTGAGCACTTTAAAGGGTTCCTAGTCGATCATGGGACGTGTTTCTCCCTTGCGCTTTCCCGTATCTCGGATTTCCCACATATAGGCTACACTGCGCTTCTCTGATATAGAGAAACTTCTGGATACAAAAGAAAGGCTGGCATACCGCATACCGCTGGCCAGCATGGTCTGAGTGTTGCAACATGTTGCAACATCACTGGCCGTCGACAACGTGTCATTCCATCCCAACTCGGACCACCTCGATGTTCCCCCTTTGACAATTTCTCTGTGGCATTAGGATTCAGTCGTCTCAGTGTGGCTCTATTTATTTTCCGCACACAACAATAACATAACAATAACAATACTAGTAGATTGGTCCTCGCAACAAGCATTCAAGCCACAAAACGGAAGCACACACACAAAGGTGGGAATGATCTGGAATTCTTGCACCAGCATGCGCCTGGTCCTGCATTAAAAATCCGGGTCACTCACAGCATGTGGCGGCCAATGCTGCCATAATTCCTAGATTCCTACTGCAAATGCTCGCCTCTGCCTTCAGGCAGGATGCCGAAGCGAAGTTGAATTACAGCACGAGATCTGTGCTGTTGTAGCACAATCTTGTGGGAGACTCCAGGGCACAAAGGGCAGCCGTTCCACATGGTGGACCTGGTCTCCACATCTGAAGGGCCAGTTCTGGGACCGATCCAATAATACATGCGGTGATGCCAACGGGTCTACCATGTCGTCTCCAAGACCTTCTGTGGCCTGAAGGCCATCCTCCTCGGCTGCCCACCGAGGAATCGACTCAGAAGAGCTCTCTCTTCTCAACAATCTTCACGCCTATAGTCGACACAGCGACACCGCTCTGCAGCAGGCAGCCACCCTCTCAACAGGGATGATTTGTTGGATCGAAGTGGATCGTCCAGAAAAATACCATTCAGGCAGTTGGTTCTGGAGAACATCCAGTACCAACTAAAACCACAGGTATCGACCGTAGATGTCGAGAATCCAGGGGTAGTAGACTGTTGGCATGCCTGATGATCATATCTTGACCAAGGTCCAAGGATGTCCAAGGATGTCCAAGGGTCCAAGACGCTCCCAAGGCCATCAAAAGAACACAGCAGGTGCCGCCCCAAATTCCGGTTGAGTGGCCCCAAGGTACCTCACCCTATCTCGCCGGGCGCATCGGCATTGAACGGTCGGGGTGTTTGTCACTCGGTGTATGTAGCACCACCCGAGCATCGGAGATGAACTTGGGACAAACCTGTGGGATACTCTCAAGACCCTGTGGGATACTCAAATCATGAAGATTAAACCTCTGAAACCAAGAAAATAAAGAATCATTGGCTTCTTCACCGTGAAAAAGCTTATTCTTGCTTTTTCAACATATCGAACTTCACTAGGATCTACTGAGGAGTGTATCTGATTTGACCCCATCTCACCCACGAAACAACAGAAGCTAAACACTAGTCAGCTCTGTTTTGCTAGGCTCAGGACTCAGAACCCCTCCCAAGACCCAGAACCTCTCACCAATCACTCGCCCTTCCGCGGACGTGAACTCCGAGGTCGCGCTGCACGATAAATCCGAGGTTGTGCTCTGGCCCAGCCACTGTGCGCACAAGCTTCTGGATCATTTCCACTACTAATGACGTTATTGCTCTCGTTCGTCTCATTGTGCTCCTCCTTGTCTTCATCAGCAACACCAATGACCGTCGCCTGCTGTGGAAAGTTCGCTGGGTATCAGGAATTCTGGCTATAAGCAAGCTGCCCAGTTCTACTTGCTTCTACTGCCAACAACAGGTTAATCATTAAAGTTGCTGGGTGATGACATGATCAGAGTCAACAAAATCATCTATCGTGTGATCGTGTGCGAATCTGACACTTTCTTTATGAGGAGTGTATCTGCAATCACTTGTTCAACAACCTGACCAAGCTACAATGACGATAGGACTCACTAGTAAACTACAACTAGATTCTAGATCTAAATAAAGCTAAGCACTTCCTAAGAGTTCCGGGAAAGTACATATAACGATCGTGGTTTGGTGCGTCCCGTTTTTTTGTTGGCTCACACTCTTTCCCAGTGATGCTTCAATTGGCATTTAATTGACCTTGCTTCCTCCTCAATGTTTTTGCTGCATTCTCAATTCATCTCCTTACCGTTTCATAGATTTAAGACTCCCAATGGTGAAAACTATTTAGTTAAATCATGTACTATTGAAACGCTATCAACCATAACCTACACACTCTACCCGTAAAAAGATATTGCCCTTCAAAATGAGCGAAGCGTTTATGATGAATCCTACTCCACCCACCTGACGGCCACGGCATACGCGCGCATACACGTCATACGGCAATACGCGCGGCCTGCACCACGACGGGAGGTGGCGCAGCTTCTGCATCACCTGGCAGTGCATGGGTAATGTGGCCTGTTGCCCGCCTAAGCTGAATGGAGCACCACCCAGTTGGAGAGGTTTATGGCGGTTTATAGACTCCCCTGACCATGTAATGCCCTATAACCACCCAAACCTGGGTGGTACTGGTATGGGGGGCTTTGCTGCTAGCTCATGTCGGCCAGGTCGGACCAGGCAGCGTCACCTGCATAGATAGCTGAAGATACTCTGCAAATGCCACACATTCTGCCTGTCGCAGTACTGTAGCATAGTATTATATTATATGCAGTACTCATGCCTGGCACCCAATCAGATCACGACATTGAGGTTGTCAGGATAAGTTATCTTGAACAAACATATTAAGTTGCCACAATGTCACCATGCACTACCTAGGCATCTGGTACTGCACAAGAACCTGAACCTGCCTGATGGGAGATGCCTTCTGTCCATCCTAATCTGTCCAGCCATCAATGATCATACGAGTATGAATCAAGCATGTGAATTTGTAAAGCAACATATCATGAATAGCAATAGCGTCGTAGAAGCGAAGTGACCCCTCTTCTGGAGTTCCGACCATCCACCATATGGTCCCTGTTCCTATCACTGTCACATGCATTCTAAGGATTTTACTGATTCTTACGGTGAACAGGATAAGTGCGAGAAATGCCTTGAACCGTCTTGCCCATCGGACCGACCATGTTGTGGGAGGAGGCTCTCCCTGTGAAGAAAAAAGGCACTCCTATGCATTCCTAGCTACAATGTCCAAACATGTCCAAACTATAGGAGAGTTATGCTCGACTGGGTTTTCATAACCATCATTGGCTAGGTATCGCTAGGTCGAATTGCCTGCTGGGAGGGTCATTGAATGTCATTAGTTCACTGCATGGCCACCGTCTTCCGCCTGGATCAGGCACCACCACGACAGGCGTGGAAACCCCAGGGGAGCCGTCCGGCGCCGTAGCCACTTTTCTGCGCTGGAGGCGTATGAAGTTCACGGCATAAGGCCAAATCGTGCAGACCTCCAAGAGGAGTCCACCTGCAACGGGTGGTTTTTCCCGATCTCTAAACAGGATACTCAAGGATGACTCAACCAAGTCCCCGAACGTTCTTTAGAACAACAAGGGGGTCACTCAGTGCTCCCGCTCCTTGTGACCTCTTGCTGCTTGGACCGTGGGAATTGCAGGCGGGGAAAAAAGAAACGTTTGCCGTCTGCGGGATGTGTGCAGTTTTTTGACGAAGCAAACTGGAAGGATGAAAAGCCACAAGTTTCTCAGGACATCCACAGGAACTGCCCTTGCAAGTAGATACAAGTAGTAATTTAGGGGGCTCGTCCGACTCCATGTCTTTCTATCTCAAACATCTGGTAGCCCTCTTGGGCCTATATATACAACATATCCTTTGATGACAATCAAACTGAGAAAACATGTCAAGAGTCAAGACTATTCAAAACTCATCATCGGCATGTTTTGATGCAGCCTTATTGATTCTTATTGTTGAGTGTATTTGGTACTGATGACCGAGGACCATTTGGACATAGAAACAGCATGCAAAACAAATTTGAGAGATGACATTAGGGGTCCGTCATACTCCGCAAACCTGAATCATAGTCCCAGTGACCTGCACCCCTGGGACCATGCTTTCCCCTTCTCCAATGGTCTATTTTTTGAAGAAAACACCACACCAAAACAAAAACATCAACAACATACACTCCGAGTCGGCATGGAAGTGGATGGCACCACCGTCCTTTGGTCTTCGGAAGCACCGGTCCTTTCGGGGCCATATACCGAAACCACAGTCGATTTCTTCAGGGAGGAACACATCGTTCTCCACTCCGAAACCGCTGCGACACGAACCGAAACGAAACCGCAGGGACGCAGATGGCGAACTCCAGCCTATCACCAGTGGACATAGCAAACCCAGGGGTCCCACATGAGGAAGGATCAGAGTCCAGCAAACTTGCATCCAACGCTTCATGTTCGGCTCATAGATCAATTCAATCGCTGCCGGGCAAACGAGTTTGAAGGAAACGACCCAATTCCAGAAGGACCAAGTGCTCCTGGCGACGAATCCATCAGCGTCATGTGCAGTTCCACAGTTCGCACAGTGTGCAAGAGGACTCCATGGAAGCCAAACATGTCTGCTCTCAACCTGCTTCACTTGCCAGAGGCTTGCAACCCTCTCTGATTCTCTCAGGACGAGTCCCTTAACATCCCTTAACTCTTCCCCCTCAGTTTTCAGTTCTTTTGCTGTGAAGGCGCGCAAAGACCAGGAGCATCCCCACATAGTATGGCACACCTTGGTCCAGCTTGATGAAGACTCCCGTGATCAGGCCAATCTCTTGCAGGCGACTCGGATCCATGGCGCTTCGTGAACAAAACAGCAAAGCGAAAAGAGAGAAGACTTAGCTTAGTGGAGGTTGGAGCGGAGAGTGGAGAACAGTTCCCGAGTTGGACCGAGGGAATTTGGCACATCCATGATGTGGTCAACAACTTACAGGCACTCGAAGAGGAACTGAAGGCAGCGAGGAGCTGTGAATGCTAATGTTTGATGAGAAAGTTGTTTGTGTTTTGCATTTGTGTCAGCGTCAAAAAGAACTGTCCAAACATGTTGTTGTTAAGTTGCATTGAGCCTGCAGGGCAGAACATGACATGTTCTTTCAGAATTGGTTGCAAACGGTCCTTTCTCTGAACTTCTGGACATGAAGCCGCTCTCGATTCACATATAGGCGCTCTCAAGACATTCACACATTTCTTGTCCTTGTAGCAGCCTGTATATATATACACATACATTACCTAGAACCCATGTGACACGGCTGTTAGACACATGGCCGCTAGCTGCTCGCCACACTGTAGCTTCCGAGCCAAAAGGTGAATGGGACAAAGAGATGGACGTCCTTGCTATCTTCAATGAAACTTCAATGTTCCATATCCGTCCTCTATAGGCCAAGTATGTAGGATCCTAAATCATTGATATGGAAACAGTGACCAAGCCGGGTGCGGAAAAACAAAGAAGTAGATCGCTCTGAAAGGCAGGCCCGCGAAGCTGTCTAGAAAGTGGCGGCCAGGCCTTCAATTGAAAACAGCCCAAGGATCCTGGGATCCTACCCACCTAACGGTCCGGAAACATCTCTCCAGAAGGGGATTCACCCGTAGGAAAACATCAACAATCATAAGCAAAACCCAGCCCAAAGGTCCGAGCAGTTTTAGTCTTTTGGTCCCTGCCTAGCTGGGCGATGGCTCGCCTGATTGGATCGCTCGGCGACTCTTTCAGAGTGCCCTGGATCGGTGCACGGTGCAGATCACGACGGTCACGGTCCGCGGCCCGGATCGGTGCAAAAAGAGATATGCACAGAAGGAATGGGGGTCTCCACTAACCAGTGTACATGAGAAATGAAATGATCTTGTCTGACATTGCTTCCATGGTCTTTGGAGGTCTAACAGTCTAAGGGATCGGAAGGAAAACACGAGGGATCGGTGCGGAAGTCGATTCATGAGACCACCCCCGTTTCTGCAACGGGTCTAAGCGCTGGCAAAGGTCTACCTTTCGGCAGAGGTGCTAGCAAGAGACTCACCGCTGCTATTGGGCACCACAGTGCGAACTGGGCATTTGAAAACGTTTAAAACCTTCCATCGATTTTTGAAGCAGTTGCACAACAAAATCTGGTGATGACAAAACATGAATTGGCCTTCGGCAGATACTGTCGGCACGATGAAGACATCTTGCTCCATCGGGCCAAAGCAGTTCATGAGGCAAAGCACAGCAACTTCCACTGCCAGGACTGGAAACATCTACATAAGTTTTTGCTGTACTGCTGAGTGGTTGCAAACAAAGAAAAAACAACACAAGCCGTGCAGCATTGGAACAACATACTGTTGATTGATGATTGTTTGTGTCACATAAACTAAAGCATCATATGTCGAATATATAATAACCCTTTCAGGGAACTTCAATCTTTCAGAACATGTCGTCCTTCTTCTCGACAATCTTGACGACTGACAGCGTGACAGCAGTGGCATCTTGAAGAAACAATTGCAACCAAAGCAAGCAGCAAGTGTGATCAACATAGTAAGTGGTTGTAGGGCAGCCCGAAACTTCAGGTCTTGAACGGAACAGGGCCTACAGTATAACTACTGGTTCTTTGATGTTCTGTGTCGCAACAAATGGACAAATCATTCAAACCGTGCAGCTACCAACCATCACACCAAATTCACTGTTGGGCTGTAGGATCGCGAACTCGTGCTGTTCGGGGCATGATTGCTTCTTCCGTTCGCCTCAAGCTCTTGGTTTCTTCACGTCAACATTGATACTTGGGGAGCAAAGAATCATTCGTCCACTCACGGTAGGTAAGGAAAAATTACAAAGGTCAACCCGAATGCAACAACGTACGAGGTCGTCAGACATAAATTCTTAGCTGAACTCCAACTCGAGCTCTGGCAACTGGGACCATGCGATGATTCTCAGTAAATAAGCAAACCATAACAAACCTAAGAGCGATGGCCTCCAACCTAGAAGCAATGGCCTCCAACCTAAGAGCGA